CGGGCGACTGCTCCCTCGGGGGCTCTCCCGCCGCTGACGTTGCCAAACCGCGTTGGGGACACCCGGCGCGATTCCCCGCCAGCGATTGAAATGGAAGGCACGAGCGCCTCTAATGGTCGGTCTGAATTGCTAAGATGGATTTTATGTAAGGCTAAATGCGGCCTATCCATAATTGAGGACTGGAAATTCAAAGGCCGCTAAAAGCCGTTTTAAGAAATTTTTGTGTCGGGGGCCTAAAGACGCTATATCGATGCTAATGTTGCACTAAAGAATATGAGTTCTCGGGTTCATACCTTCGATACGATATGACTAACTGACGATGACACTCCATGAATGCGTAGTTTCGTTTATGCGCCAAGAATTGAATTACCTCGAAGAGAAACTTCATTCATTTTCGAGATGGAAGGCCAGCTAATATTTTTCAGGCACAAAATCAGCTGGAAATATTACTGTGGTTCTTGCGAATTGGTTAAAATGTGCGTGCTTGTGCTGAATAGTAAGCTAAAATTTCATTTTTGTGGCTTAACGATAAAATAATTTACATTCCTACCTCTACTGCATAATTTTGAACGTTGCAGTTAAAAAAGTTTCACACAAAAGAACGTGAATGATGATATATGCATTGAAAGTGAAGCGTGTATTCAGGACTATTTATAGTTTAGTCGTAGGCGAAGGTATACTTACATGCTGGGTTGGAATGTTATTTGCGTTTCATGCAAATGCACTTGCTCCATTTCATTCGTGCTCCTACCTCGAAAATGATTCAGCATTTATTTTGAGACCCAAGGCAGCACACACTGAAGGTCAACATTTATTTACCACTACGAGGTATATAAAAAGAGCGATTTTGACAAAGTACTGACGGTTAAAAGGGTCGAGATGTTAGTCCTGGTTAGAACTTCTTTTTCTGATTTAACAGATGACTCTGCAATATGATAGGTGTTACGCAGAACGTGGCAACCCTACATGTAGACTCGCTATTAGATGGTAATGTGAAGTACTGTTATCGTACAGAGAACGGTGATTATTTTAGATGAGTCAACCTCTGCACAAAATGGACGTTGCTTTCGTGTAAGCAGCTTGCGTGAGTTTTGTTGTGTAGCTAATTTGCTTCCTACTTCACTCTCAAAGTGGAGGAAATAGTGTTTGAAAGTGGGACTTGGATTGAAGCCAATGTCACTGAAGCGTTAAGTGAAATTCTGAAACCCTGTTCTTCGCTAGACACAAATCGCAGAATGCTGAGGTTAGGACTCGCGAATGTTTTGTCGTTTTGCGGCCAAATGAAATCTAATAACATTAGTTTTTTCTTTAAAAAAAATTGTATTTTCATTGAATTCAAAACATGAAAAATCGCCTTCTCTAGATAAAAAAAAACCGCACCCCCACAGAGGTGCTGCAACTGCAGCGGGTGCTGCACACACTTTCTCGTATTATTTCTAAATTTACAATTTTTGAAAATTCAGAAAGTTCAACGAAAATGAGACACACACCATTGCTTTAATCATCCATCCTTCTGTCCGCGAAAAAAATAAAGGTAAAATTGGAGGAGTTTTTGAGAACGAAATGTTTTTAAATTACCTATGTTTCGCGCGAAATTACACGAAAACTATTCATATTTTCAAAAATTGAACTTAAAGTTACTTAAAGATCCGTCATTAAGGCACGGATGTTATTAAGAAAAGTCTTTATCTTCAATATTATAGTTGTATGAAGACACCTATAAAAATTTGCGCTTTTGCAAATTTTAAAAAAATCTGTCATTTTAGCGAACATGTGACCACCGCCCATTTTCTTAAGCGTTCATTACGCTATCCAAAATTTGATCAAAAAACTTGGTGACTTACAAATAGACTTTTGCCACCAATCGATTTTTCGGTGTCAAGGACTGATAAGAAATGGATTTTGGCTATATCAAGTGTTAAAAGATTTTTTTTCTATATTTAGCAACAGTATTTTTCCAGCCACTTTTTCGTTAACAGGATCCCGCAATAAGAAGTTTTCATGATTTCCGGCAATTCGATTTTTTTGCCGTTTTCGGCCGCACGAATATTCTTCGAAGTACCTCAAGAGCTCGGAGAAAATTAAAAATATCGCGTATAGGTGGTCATAGCTTGTATAGTTGCGTGGCCGTTGAGATGTTGAAGCATCGATGAAGATGGTTCGATTCCCAACGATGGCAGGAATTTCGACTGTTGATTAGCTGGGGACGAATATGTTCACAGTCTAGATGAGAACTCTGTGGTCTCCTCTGATCGGTCCCGTCTGTGATGGGGCAACCGGAGAAAAAAAGATCACCATTTTGCAAACGCGAGAAATGTTGCAAGAAATGTGACTGAAAATTCAATCTGGATTGATGTTATTGTGATTTTAACATTTAATTAGAAGAGCGTTTTAAGAAACTTCAGGTTCTACTAAATCTACTCTTCCGATTCAGTACAGAATTGTTACGAATTTATTTTTTAAATATCCAAAAATGCTACAAATGCAAGAAGAATACAAATTTAGTCCATAATCAAACGACTATGTATACAGTTAGCTTAAAATACGTTCTACAAACACTTGAAGTTCATCAAACATGAAAATTCCGATTTTAAAGTTCCTATTTCAAAGAGTTGATAGACTTAGGACAACAGTTTCAGTGAATTAAAAAAATTAATACTGTGTTTCTTCTCCAATCAAACTATTTTGTACAGCATGCAGTAAGGATAAAAATACTAATGATCATCAGAAATACATATCATTAAAATTTAAAGATTTATCAACATTAGTAATATACATACACAACATAGTGTAAGAGAAATTCGTGAGATCCCCTAACCATAACATTTTTACAACTATTTACTAAATAACATATAGTTGCAATGTCCAAAATATCTGCTGTTTGATCTTTCAGTGATACTAATATTATTACACCGAACGAAGTGGCTCAGGGCGTAGCGTGCTGACTTCACACTCCGAAGGCCCAGGATCAATTCCTAAGTGGTCATCCTAACCAGAATTTTCGTGGTTTCCCTCGGTCATCCAGGCGAATGCTGAGATGGATCCACTCAACAACAACCAGCACCATGCAAACAAATGTATGTAAATAATATACTTAGAAAATGGTCGTATGAATGAATCACACAATTTTGAATTAAACATTCATATTAACATACATCTTGTTGGAATTACCGTCATATTCATATAAAACCATTAAATCTTTTACAAAATTACGAGATCGTGAGCTGACCGCGAATCCAATCCTGTCAGGCACTTTATAGCGTTGCTTCGACCGGGGTCTACAATGCAGGCAAGCCGGCCCCGTGCCGGGGGGCGGGGGGG